CCACAAATTCTAGAGAGCGCTTCCAAACGGTAAGACGGAGCAACACCCACATGCATTCGCACGAATAAAAACACAGAATATACGTTTTTCTTTTACTGCCATACTTCAGACCATTAATAGGGACAGAAAGAGACTTCCTGAGTTTGTGACGGAGAGCGGAAAATTCTGATGCCAACTCTCTTCAGTGCTCATTAGAGGCGTCATTGAGCCATAAAGCTTATTATTATGACTATGGCAGAGAAAACAGTGCTTTCAGGATAACATCGCCGTACAAGACAGCGTTACTTTGCAGTTAAGCTGAAGTTAAACAGAAAGATGAAACAAACACACATTAGGGGAGGAAACATGCTTAGGGTCCATTAAGAAAATATTCAAAAGGCAAACATGTCCGAGCAAATGTCAAAAATGTATGCATGTACATAGGAGCAATTTGCACAACTCTGCTGCTTTCATGCTTCGGAAAAGTCTGACTAAACAATAGAGCGTTGCCTTACAGCATGTTACAAGCCTCGGCCACAACTGGCACGATTCCTTAACGCCTGTGGTTCAAGAAAATCCACAGTGAAAGCTTTTTGACATCCATCACTCACGTGTTCGTGCAGAACAAATATGCTTCCGCTTTATCTGATCTATCCATCCACACTCTCTCCACATCACATGCGTGGGAAATACATCACCCCGAGTGGCCTTTACGGTTCCTAACGCTTCCAGCCTCATGCTGTTTATGTGCTCAGAGTTTGTTCGTAACATTAAACACTTCCGACATAAAATCAGAGACACAGGATTTAATAAAAATAAAAAAAATACTATTGTGGATAATTGATATTAATTGAAGCATGACGATCCCTAAAAAAAAATCCTTCATTTTAAACAGATGCAGCTAGAAGTTAGTCTTTTTTTTATACAATGCTTAATTAATATTATCGTCTTTACTTTAATAACATATTTTATTTCAGTTTAGACTTTTTAAGATAATTTTTTATAAATATATCTTTATGAAATCTGTCAGACAGATCAATAAGCAGGACATCATCGGGTTCACTGACATTTCCATTAGATGCATAAAGCATTCACTATATAACTGTACATAATATGAAAAGAAACTCATTATTTAAGTATCAATGTGTGCAAAATACTGTTTGCATACATTTTTTGTATTTCAGGTCTATTGCATTTAGAGTATTAACACTATAGCAGCACTTCTTCATCCTTAATGACTAAAATGAACATAGATTTCAATGAGGAAGAAAGCAAAGAGTGAGGAAAATGCAGGTTTAATCTCAACTCCATGCATTGTTGCTTGATAAAAGATCTAGACTGAATTAAATGCTGGATCCGGACAAAACTTCAGTGAGCAGTCCATTTGGAGATCTTGAGAAGTTTCTACGTTGTCATAAGGACGCAGGAATGGGCACAAAAAAGGCACTGAAACATTAGGAAAAGAAACTAGAGTGGGTTATTATAAAGAGTTGTTATAAGAAGAGCAATACCAGAGGCTGTGAGCTGCTTGGCTGCTAATTTACTGGGTTACTATATTTCCAAGGACATGCTGTAATACCTAAACTTATTAATACTTAAAAAATACTCAAATGACTTGGATCCAGGTTTACTACATTCAATTCCAGAGATCTGACTTATAAGTCATCTTAGTATTCAATAATGAAATTGTTATGATACCATGTAGTGCTGCTTCAGTAGAAATTCTTTAATCATGAAGCATTTATTAATTTTTAGAACGCATTGCATCGAGAAGCAAAAACATTCATAGATTTTTATAACATATTTGTCTCTGTGTGTCCGTTTTTCACTCTGTTGGTAGAAATTTGCACGAGCTACTGTGTTAGCAGAATCTGATTGTCAAATGCAGAGGCTTTCTCTGGTCCCATATGATAACTGTGCATTCATGTTAAATCAGCTGTAAAAATCCTGTATTACGTTTCGTATGAGTTTGTGTTTTACATGCTATTTCGGTGCAATGCTAATGGCTTTACAGAGTGCCGGGCATTTTAACAGAGCCATGGAAAGGCTTGTAAAACACACGCAGTCACCACAAAACAGGAAAAAAAAGAAAAAGAGAGGCTGGCACATTGAGGCACGGTGGTCTGGTGGGAGACCGTGTGTGAGCCTGGGTGTGTATTAACAGGGTCAGTCAGGGTGATGGCGACACATGATGAAGGAAAATGAGAAACACCGTCTTGAATGAAAGACTGCCAGTGTGTTCTTTACAATTGTGTGTAAGCTTGGTTGGTGGCTAAAAAAAAAAAAAAAAAATCCATGCATGGCGCCAAGTGGCACTGCCCGACTCTGGGTGGGTTTGGACAGAGAAATGGGCAGAAAGATTCAAATTGTGAAATGAATTACTGTTAAGGGAAACATCCCACTGAAAAATATATCTTGTAAAGGCTTAAAAACCTCAAAACAGGCTCTGTAATGGAGTGAATGAGATGTGAATAAGAAATACAGTGTTGACGTAATGACTTTGGGATAAATGAACCTAAAAGGAGGACTGGAAAGAAACTCCAAGGGCAAAATGAAAAGAAACACAAGAACAAAAATAAAAGGGGGACATTTTAATCTAAAAGTTAAAATCTTCTCATTCTGAAAGTTTGATTTGCTTTTCTGGGGATACCCGATACCTGTGCGTTACTTTAAAAAAAATGCATTGCATATATGTATATAACTTAGATGTTCACAAGTCATTTTTCCAAGTCTCGAGTCCTAGTCCAAGTCAATTTTCTAATGAATGAATTAAAAACTTTTCTTAAAATTCATAGGTCACTTTATAACCTAGTTTCAGACTTGTGTTGTTTGTAAAGAGGCTTAAATTACCACAAACATTTAATAATGACTTTTTTAAATGTTGCGTTGTAATATTTTTCTATTTACTTCACTATGCCATAAATGCAACAAGAATGTAATAGTTACCCCATTAGAAATATGTTTATACTCCAAGAAAACAACAATAAATATGCAATAAATATGGTTTGGAGGGTTTTCTTTTCCTCACTCCACGCTGGAGAATTCTGAATAGTATCGGAAAATAACATTTTCTAAACTCAGATTGAAAGCCCCAACTCCCACTTCTAAATAGTTGAGATGTTCAATACAAAAGGAGAAGGACAGGTTCTTATTTTGGTATTTTCAGCCTGGATGTGTCCTTGTAATGATGTGGTTAACTTAACGTGTCAGAGGCAGGTCATGTTTATTTCTTTCTGAAGTCCAAAGTCATTTAATAAAGCGTTCATTTAAAGAGGCCTTCATGTGTTTATTATAAAGCTACAGCTAACATGAACAGATTGCTATGAGTCATTAACATCCCATAAGCCACCAGTGTCACTGGCTAATATAAAAGCACATTCTTTCAGTTTTGAATCCAATATGGCTGCCACCCATGTAACTGGCAGTGAAAGTTGCCAGTATGAAAATTTTAATGACAGTTTTATCTCATTAAAGCAGTGGGACATTTAGTACCCAAACAGCTGTTTCTTTTCATCTTCATGGGAGAAAATGGAGAAAAAAAACTTGCTAATAGCTTTTAGCACCAAAAAACCCCCCAACAAATCTCACTGTTTTCCCTCAAACGCGACGTCCCTTTCAGCTTCGAGCGCCAATTTCTAAGGCGAATCAAACACAAAATTGTCAGATTTGTGCCTTTCTCCATTTTGGACTGAATAGTATGTTGTCAGAAATTCAGCTCTGGACATATTTCAAGTTCTCCACAACTCTAACCTTAATTTTCCAGCTGCATTCTGTGATTGTCATGATTTGGTGTCCTCCCTAATATTCTTTAACAAACCAAACAGCTGGATTTACACAGGTTATGGATTACTGTGTGATACAGCACGGCGTCTTAGTGAGGATCCTGTAAAAATCAAGAAGCGAGTGAAGCCCAGTGAATTTATAAGAAAATTTGGACAGTTTTTCATCTCAGCTGTACGTTTGACTTGTTTGTAACCACGAGCAGTCTGCATTCCTTATTAGATAAGCTTTAGCAGCTGCCCACATAATCAGTTTTAACAGAGCACGCTTTGCATTTAAAAGCTAATGTCTGACCTCAAGACCACAACATAAAGTCTGCATTTCGGGCTGATGATGAAAAATATGCGTTATATTTTTCTGCCTGAGAAAGTCCCGCAGAACGGCGAATGTGCCCTGGGATTAAATGACAGCTTGATTCTCTATTTTCCGAGTTTATTCAAAGCGACAGGAAACCATGCTATGCCATATGTGAAGCGCTCATGCTAAACAGAGACGTTTCTCAGCATTGAGACGTACAATAAGGCTTTCATGGAGACTGTAGGAAACTGGTAACCAAACCGCACACTCTGTCACCGAGCTGCGCGAGTGTGTCTGCGTCTACAGTTACCGCCTTCAATGCATACCACATGTAGCAACCATGTTTTGGCTGATATGTTTTCAATATGGAGGAAGAGGAAGCCTTCGACAGACCCAATTTGTTTAATTGAATAATGCACTGTTTATATTGAAAGCCTGAAAACACAAGTGGTTACTATGATAATGCAGCAACATGAAGGCATTCCCTGAGCCCCAACTTGTCTTCTCGCTGCTCCGATCTTGACAGCAAAATAAAAAACTCTTCCAGTCTCGCTGCTCCGAGCTGCGTATAAACCCACCTCCCTCGTCCTGCCAAGGAGCTGAGGCGGAGTGTACTCCCTGCACTGTACGATGAAATAAAATGTCTTATCCGGTATTTGTTGTGCAGCCAGGTGCTTGTCAACAGGTGACCTGCTGGAGTAAATCTCTTTACAAATGTCAAAGGTAATGCCAAAAACCTGCCAAGCCAACCAGTGTGGGCCTCGTCTTCCACTCGTACTCATGCCAAGATGCACACATCAACGCATAGAGTAAAATGCCACACTGAGGCCTTAAGAAATATTTTTTTTCCATGTTCCAGGTAATAATTAGCTTAATAATCTCACGAATTAAAGAAGAACAAAATTTTCTCTTATCGTCACAATTATGCAAAACAGAACCCTCACCTGCTCCTCTGACATGCTGTGCAGCTGCGTGTGCCAGGAGGCGGAGTCAGAGCGGTGATAAGATAGGGGCGGGGCAAAGTCCTGCAATATGATTGGGTCACGCTCCTGACACAGTGAGGTCAGGTGACTTATGTACAGCTTCAGTTTATTGCGATTCTGATTGAGGTCCAGGAGAGGAGAGAGAATCTGCAGGAGGGGACAGAAAAATATGTTTAATTAATAAAGATAAAAATGCATCAAAAAAAACACAAAAAAACAAAAACAAAACAAAACAATCATGACGGCTGGTTTAAGAGTTTACAAGTCAGGGAAACGGAAGGGCATGCAATTATGGATAGAAGTGAAGTGGGTGAAATGCAGACTTGAAAAGTACTTTAGTGTGGACAATACAAAAAAATTATTAAATTCAACCATAAAGAGTAGAAAGCACTGAAAGAAGTTTACATAACTTGGGTACTGTGACTGTCAAGTCAAGCAAACACTACACACTCGGGTGTGTATTAGTTGTGACTTCATTGAGTGTAAAAACAATGGCAAACAGGAAGGCCACAGCAGTTGAACTCATGTAAATCTTAGACCGAATTTAAATGTAGCCAAAACTCCTACATCCTCAGGCAGATATTATAAAATGGCTTTGTTTTGTATTCACACTCATCGAACCTTTTCACATCTTGTCGCGTTTGAACCATAAACTCGATGCGTTTCATTAAATTTTTGAGTGATGGACCAACACAATGCAGCATAACTGGGAAACAGGGAAAAAGTTTGTGAAGTGTTCCGCAAAAAAAAACAAAAAAACAATATAAATGCACAGCAATACGACTAAATAAAGCTAAAAAAATGGTTTCAGAAGGAACTTAATTAGAAAATCCTAGTAGAGTGAAGATTTAACTCAAAGCAGGATTAAAAAAAAAAGCTGACTTGATATTTCCTAAAACTAAAAAGAATGGGAGAAGATATAAGTCTCTAAAAACTTAGTTCTACAAAAACTCAGATGGGCTGGATGCAAACGCTCACCACATTCTTTGTAAATGCACAACACATGTACCTTTTCCCCTTCCACTTCACAAGAATGCCTCACTTTGAGACAAAAAAAATCACAATAAAATACAGAGGTTTATCTACGCTACTCCAAAACATTGTTTGTTACTGAAAGTAGAGAGAATATGTCCACTTTCCAGTTGTTCACTATGTATATGTTAATATATATTGTTTATATTATAAATTTCAGGCTAAATAAAAACTAGAATACAGCAACAGTAGGTTCCTGATGTGTGTCTGCTAAGCGTGGGAACGAGGACGAGAAGAGTGACAGAGATGCAAGCGTTTAAGGGTTCTGAGTCGAGACCCCCCATGAGACGTGTCCATGACAGACACACACACTCGCACAGATAAAACAAACAGACCAAACTCTTCCCCTTGTGGAATACCGGGATTTAAGTGCAGAGGAAGCATTTTAAGAGGGGAAGCAGTGTGAGTGTGCGTTAGCGAGCTATATTTAACGCTGCAGTGCGTCTGCGCCGGCCTTCTGTGCCCGTCGTCACTCAGCAAACACACAAAGAGAATTAAAAAGTAAGATCCTTTCACTCAGCGCAGTGACTTCATTTTGTCTGTGTGAACTCCGTGTCTGCTCTTCAGCCGTCGCTCTTCTCAGCGTTCAGATTCGAGGATCTGTGCGTTGTTATCTCGTCTCTGCTGACTTTATTTGCTGAAGCGCTTTATTAAGACGGTATGGTGAACCAAATGTCCATTTTACATTGTTATGTTGACTATACTTAGCAGATAAAACAGCCTGTCTGAACGGATAAGATTGACCAGCATTGCTCTAAAAGATTCAGTAATACACAGTATTGTGTAAAAGTTGACTAATTTATTTATAATTTGCTTCTAGTGAATTTTATTTGAATTTCTTTTCCTCTTATAAAACAGATTTCGCCTTTTTGAGCAATAAATGGTCTTTTAATCAATTCAAAGAAATTCACGTCCCATCAAATCCCATTCTTTTATTGGAAATATGACAAATACCAATCACAAAGTTCAACATGTAGATAGGAGCTTAACTCAAAGAAAATGATTCTCAAACAGCCGTTAGCTGAAAACTAGGCTCTCGATACTTAACTACAAGGCTCGGCTTTGTTCTCTCGCTCTCTATAGGACTTGACTTTATCAAAGTGTTTCGGCTCCGACATTTCTTCTTTTGTCCTCCACTTGTCCAATTTTCTAATTCTTTAAGCAACCACTGCACCAATGCTGCCCTGGTCAGATACAAGGACTGCAATGAAGATCAGTAAAACCTCAGAGATCAACACACACAAAGTGTGTCGACTTTAGCACTGTGATATTAGCGCTCGGAAGAAACTAAACGATACTGAGATAAAGTGACAATTCAAGATGACACATTGGAGTAAAACCCAAGTCACATAGCTTCACAGATGTAAACACAGCGGCAAAACTATTGACTCGAAGAAGTTATGAAGCGATATAAAACATTTGCACAGCAAAGCATGGAAACTACAACGGGCAGACGAGCCAGTTAGCAGACGACCCAACATCAATCGGCTGCACAACAGATGCCATCTTTTCATCTAAATACTGGGGTATTATGTACCTATCATAAAAAAATATTCTGTTCTTGTACCTGACACTTTTTGACATATTTGCAATAAAGGTTTTTTGTTGTAATTCTGTCCCCTGCCTTCTTTATAAAGTAAGGAAATTTTGCAGAGCCTCTGCATTCCTTATAAGAATGAAAAGTTCCTGATAAAGCTAAAAACGTAGGACATTTTCAACTACTTCAGTAACTTCATGTGTTTTATGATGCTGACAAAAAAACAAAACATGAATCGATGAGGATGTGGGTGATTTTCACGCTATATCCTTTAAGCAGTCTTGTCTCTGCGTTAAATCTGCAATAAAAGCTAACGGTGAATCAAAGTATCTGTCGTCTTTAATTTCATCTTATTGACAGCTACCACAAAAACATTAATACGCGCCTACACATGTGCACCCTGGATGTAACCCTGAGCTGCTCCTGATTATCTCCACAAGTAACAGGAAGCAGCTTCCTGGTTTCTTACACACACTAAGCATGTTTGCACTAAATATAATTTTTCAGATGTGTTATTTGTGTATGCAATTGCCCCTCCATTGCACACGCGCTCAAATGCATTACGTTTTTGGACCGTTATCAGCGCAGAGATAAGCTCTAGTTGCGATATTTTGCAGTGAAGGATTGTCAGTAGGAAACAGGCCATTAAAAGAATCTCTGCTGTCTATTTCCCTTTAGTGGAAAAAAAAGAGTTAGGAGAAGAAGTGAGGTGTAAAAGATGGAATAAAAGACGGCAGGGTTTCATATTCTGGGCTGTAAAACTTCTACGCTGCCCATACGAAGACAGTTCTACGGAGTTTGCTTTACAGCCCCAAAATAAACCTAGCATGTGGTCAGCAGCTGCTATCTCACACTTTCTAATTTATATTATTCTGTCAAACAGCAGAAAAAAAGAAATTCCCTGTCAACACTTTCCAGACATGAAGCAAAGCTCCGAGGATCAAACACAAGACAAACTAGAAACAGGCACAAAGAACGGAATGAATGAAGCGATCTGAGGAAGACGTTTTTAGAGAAATTACAACAGTGCTCTCTTATTTTTTCCACCCAGAATCGATCTAAAAAGAAAACAAGATTTGAAAAGAAATGTGAAAACTAAAATGCTAGGTCTAAATTTCAGAAGCACAGTGAATTTAGATGTTTTTACTCATAATATGGCAATAAGAACCTATAAGTTTTAGCAGCTTTTCACAGACACGATGGCCAATTAATCAGTGTGTGTGTGGTTAATGGGTCTGCAGCGGTTTTCAGTGTCTTGTGAAACAATCCCCAGGGAGGTATAGTTTTATGCTGCGCTGTGAGTGAGAGTGTGAGCTTGAGCCGCTTTATTAGCCTCTCATGTGTCCCTACAGGATTCTCACTGTAGTAAGAAAGAGCTCTAAAGAGAGGCGTACGGCTAACTCTGCTGACTGGACTCAAAGAAAGAAAAACACGACGGCCAAATGATATGATGAAATTAGAATTATTCATCCCTCATGGAACCGTGAAGGACTTGTGCTCAAAAAGACATGCAGAGCAACCTCTACCGTTACAGGCATCCCTGGTGAAGATGTGAAGAAAACTTTAAATAAATGGCAGTTTAAGAATAAATTGACCCAAGAGGTCATCTGAAATGCTGCTGGGAGAGTCCTGACCAACACCGGGGAAATGGATCTCATCGCATTTTCATGCACTGGCTCCATATTTGTCAAAGAATTGATTTTAAAATACATCAACTTTTAAATGGAGGGATCTGACTGTTGAATTGAAAGGGAAATGAGAGATTCGAAGATTAGATGTGGATTTAAAATCAAGCTACAGATTTAAAATTGCCTCAAATATTTTTATCTTAACATTAGTTTTTAACCTTTTGTATCATTAATGGATTTTTCACTGACCTCCAATAAAGCAGTCTGGACTGCCTTGTGTTTGAATGGTGCTACCAAAATAAACTTATGTTCTTATGTTCTCAGTCCACAGAAGGCTGATTTTGATTCATTTTGTTTGGATTTTGCTTCATGTTTCGCATCATTATTGTGTTGAAAGAGCTATTTTATTTTATTTTTTTTGGAGAGATCAGCAGTTTTTAAAACATTTTCAAATTGAGCGCTAATGATGCCATGTACTCCAACAAGGGCTTTTGGAAGAGAAATAGACCACGACATAACCTATTCACCTCCATACTTAGCATGAGATGCTTTTCCACATATTGATCCTTTGCTTCAATGAAAAATAGACAGACTTGGTTGTTATGGAGACTTGGTGAGCCATAGATGCCACTTTTATATCTCTAACAAGCTTTAGAGAGTTTTATTCCTCCCATCTCATCCTCCTATGGTGACAAGATACAACCGGATTCTGTCTTTGTTGCAATTTATTTCTTGTCTTATGAAGATCAACACACACTTCCTGGACTTGAACTGCATATTTTCTCATTCCCATTTGGAAGAGCTGCTGGGGGAAATGAACTGTTGGTATTTCCAACGGAAACACAAGGCAATAAGTTATTAATTGAGTGCTTCTGAACCAACTTCAAAAGTAATAGATAAAAAAAAAAAAAGGTTCGGAATCAGAATATGCATTTTCTTTCCCCCTCAATTCTTAGTTTTAAATTGTTTATGCTCACAAAATAAAGAGACTAACTAACTTCATAGCACAATTTAAATTTAATGTGGGGTATCTAGCACAACTTATGGCCATAAAGTGTTCTCAACAACGCTGGGCATGTGTTAAAACTGCTCTCCTGTGCTCCTCTGCTGCAGCTCAGAATCCCCCTTATGGACATTCACACACAAGTGCTCACTGTTTGGATGAAATGTGCTATGGCAAATTAACCACCTCACACACCAGAAGGAAGGTGAATGTAGCTCCTGGTGGTGGTAGAAAGGAAAAAAAGATGGCAGATAGAGGTTGGGCATGCTAGCTGACCTGCCTCTCTCAGCAGGAAGTTGCTACATCTAATTAATAAGAAGGGCTCAACTTAGATCTGCTAGCTTTCAGCATCCTTGTGCAGTGGCAATAAATCATGTGGTATTACTTTGCTAACACCAGAGCTAAAGCTATGATGCCTAAAATGTTTGTAGTAGTACATATATTTCTAGATTTGATTAGAAAACTAATGCATTGCACACTGATAATCAGTCCAGTAACAGGTTCTCAGAAGATGCTCTGCAAGGCCCCCCTTTGCCGCCGGGTCAAAACACCATTGGTTTTTTCAGCGGCATGAAGGAATGCAGGAGAAGGGTTCTCTGTAGAGATCACAGTGTACTGTCAAGCATGTAATCCTACATAGTAATTTTAATCTGACACATGGAAACCAGGACACCTACCTCAGTGAGTGCAGTCAGACAGAATTATACATATTTAAAAAAAAAAATCTAAAACTTTTGTTTTTATGCACAATTTGGAGGTGTTTGCAGTTCTCCCGCTATGCTAGCCCAACTTCTTCTATGTGTGAGAAGCTTGGGAATGATGGCGTCTTTCTTCCCCCCCCCTTGTGAATTGACTATTAGTTTTAGCTTGCTTTCTGAGAACCGTTTAATTACAGGTAGAGGTTTGCATGTGTGTAGGAGTTATGGTGCCTAATGTTACAATAACTTGCACTGAGAGAAAAGCTTCCTGTCAAGTGTGTTTATAATGAGATTGTATTATGAGGCCAACATGGCACATCCCACTTAAAAGTTTGAAATGATCAATCCACAAAGGTGCATGCAGAGATGCATTATGTATAAGATACTGCTGCTGTTACCAGGGTCCTCCAAGGAGTACTAAAGCACACTGCATTATTAATTTATGTTTCATGTTACAATGTTTGGTCTTAATTCAATGTGAAGAGAATAATGTCAGGAAAAAGTGGCAAAAAAAAAACAAAAATAAGCTCTTTGTATGAATGAGGATGTGCAGAAATGGCACAACACAAAGACCAAGTGAATTTAAAACATGGACATGAGGAAAAGAGTTTAAAAAAAAAAACAAAAGACACCACAAAAACATGGAGGAAATTAATCAAGATTAAAATGTTCTCCTGATTGAAGAATGACGAAGAAAATAAAAATAAAAAATCCCCCCGATAAATCAGAAAAACACGGCAAAATGTATAAAAAAAAAGAGCAACACTGAAGGTGAGAAGCCAGAAGACAGAGTGTGATCATGGATGAGAGAGGAACGTAAAAAACACGAGGACACCAAAAAGTGACCTCATCCAGGGAAAGACGCTCACCCTTCTGTACAATATGGCAGACTGAGGGTGAGAAAGAAGGCATGTGATTGGCTAGGCCCAAATACCCTCCTCATCGTCCTATTGGTTAGTTCAGTCCAGCCGTAGCGTGAGTTCAGAAAAAGCAGGAAGTTAGTTTGAGAAAGATACTGTGAGTACAGCGTAAGCAGGGTTATTATTTAGTCAAAATACCGTCCAGTAATAATATTAAACAACATATTGCAGAAAACAAAACAGGTACGTAGATGAAACAAGCTTGTTGTTTTGGGTACCTGATCTGGGGAGGGCTTGTGATTGTTGGGCAGGTCAGAGTTCGGAGACGCCACTTTCAGATGGTCGTCCTCGTAGTTGTCGGCCATCAGCTTCATCCTGTTCTGCGTCTGTAGAAAGAAAGTTAAAAATGTGCTTTCAAAGAACAAAGAGAAACCACGATAAATAATGTGTTTGAATTCAATGAGATCAATACACCACCCATCTTTAGCTGCATCTAAAGTCACAAATGTTTTGCCGGTATGTCTCCATCAGTTTTGTACACCGGATGAATTTAAAAATGGCTGCTTTGTGGTTATTGTTCTGCTTGCCCAGATTTTAAGTTTTGGTGGGTAACCATGTCTTAATAGGTTTGTAGTTGTGATATTTGCTTTCTATTTTCAGATGACAGATTAAGTAATGCTCGGTGAGATGGTTAAAACTTTGGATATTGTTTTATAACCTAACTCTGCTTTCATCAAAACTTAATCCCAGATCTGTGTTTCTTGCTTTTAACGATTACCAAGAAATATTCTGCAAGAAACTTCTGAGGCCTGGAGAGCTTAGAAGTATTAATATAGAGATTAAATTAGTCACAGCTGGGGTTTACTAACAAAACAGTGGACTTCGTACCAGGGTTATCAAAGTAAATTTTTTTTAGTTTAATTTGTAAAAGTGTTTCTTATGATTTATTTCACAAATATGCCCTGGTTTGTGTTGACCACATAGAATTACAGCAAAACACAACAAGGTTTGTTGCTGTAACTTGAATAAGTGTATAAAATTTCAAATCAATGTAAACTGATTCACAAACACATCAGCAACAATCACAGCAATAGTCTGCAGCTCGCCACATACAGACATGCAGTTTATTTACAGATGAAGAAGAAATAACAGGACTTACTTGTGAGTTTATCACTTGGGGGTGTGGGGGGGGGATTCATATCTACTCATATTAGACTGAACACAGGTCTGTAAATCACCTCACACAAATCACACTTAGCATCAGCGCATAATTTTATTTTCCCATTTATCATTTTCTTTCTTTTCTCCAATTATCACTTTGTCATCATCTCCTCACTCTGCTGACTACGTTCCCGCTCCGATCTACTTTTCCGGCTCCTCTTACCGTCTCGCGGCTTTATGTGTTTCACACGTTTCAGTTCTACTTCGGGTTTTGCAGTAGGCCTGTAAAGAGTTGGGGGGGATTTAGAGATAAAAAGTGAGGGAGGGCCTGGATCCAAATCTGTTGGTGGTGTACAATCTAAATCCCCTTAGTCTCTCAGTGAGCGCTTCAAGGAGCCGGGACCAGACTCAGGTTGTGTGTGTCTGTGTGTGTACTGTATGTCTGACATGAAGAAAGAAAAAAATGTTGCATTTCTCAGAGTCTGTTTGAAGAACCAAATGAAAGACTGACATTTTTAGAGCTATGAAGAGTGCAAAAAAAAGTCTGTCTCCTCAGAGATTTCAAATATTTTACTTAAAAAAAAAAAAGAAAAAAAAAAAGACAACGATAAGCAGAGTAAATACACAAAGCGATAGTTTCATTTACTGTGTCGGGAAAAGCTATCTAAACCACACTGCCCCAAAGTCAAAATATACTTATCTCCATTGTGAATTCACAAATTAACTGTGATTAACCACATTTTCTTTGGTTCAATTTCACCTACCAAAGGCTTGATTAGCGTCGGACCTGCAAAATTAAGTAATCCCTTAAATGGAGCCCGTCAGGCAGCATGAAGCAGGCCAAGCATGTCCTGACCTCAAGAAATCCAAGAACAGATCAAAAGCAAAGCAGGGTTTTGGACCGTCCTGCGTCATTATGGTGGTTTGTTGGCGTCAAATGTTGAACTTTCCAAGGAGTGACAGGCCGACCAAAATGCCTTCCAAGAGCCCGTCAACAACTCACCCAGGAGGTCACAAAAGTACCCAGAAAATCTAACGCACTGCAGGCTGCACTCGCCTCTGCTAAGGTCAGTGTTCATGATGCAACATTAAGAAAGAGACGCCGAGAATAACCAGCATCCACGAACTAGTTCTAAAGCTAAAGTTGACCAAAAAGGACATAAAAAAAAAAAACATATCTTGATCATTTTTAGACAGATGATGCAAAAGTTTAACTTTTTGAAAGTTTTACAGCAGAGCGTTCAGAAAGTAACATTTCACCAACAAGTCAAACCTGGTAGGTGTGATAGTGAGTTTTCTTTTAGTTTTCCGACCTTCACAACTTGGCTTAATTGACAAGAACCGTAAATTTTGCAGAATTAATCAACGTGAATATCCTCAAGGAAAATATTAGTTTTAGTTTGTGACCTTAAGCTTAAGAACGTTTGGATTATTCAGCAAGAAAATGATCCAAAGCACACCAGAACATTGGGGGAAAATTCCTCCATAGTTATTAGGTGAAGGGAACAAATGTCACGAAATGCATGATTGAAAAGCTCATGTCCCTCAATAAATGAAGTCATAATTTCTAAGATGTGTTTTTTTTCCAGGTTAACTTCATCTGATATTTGGAAAGAACAAAAAAAGGGCAATACTTTTTGACTATTTGAATTCTCTTCAACATCCTGTTTAAACTCCACAAAGTCAAAAGTTCCTACTATTTAGAGTTGTTGGCGGTTGAAGATTATATTTCCAACACTTTTGCCATGCAATCGATTTTCGAGAGATAACAGAAACATTATTTTCTAGAGAAATCCATATCCAACACTATTCCCCAAATTAATTCACTTAGCACCTTTTGACAGATGGATACGCTGAATAAAATCAAGTAAACCAATTAAACAATTGGTAATCATTTTCTCTTCTTATTTTTATTGAGACGTAAAATCCGTTGGTCAATCAAGCTGTGGTTTCCCTTTGAATTAACCTAAAATACTCTCAGCTGAAGTCGAATCAGAATAATTCACAAGAGAGATAGTATGTGCTTTTTGCATGGGAACAGAAGAACGATTACAGATGTTATGATATAAGGTTACAGGGAAAGCTATACTGACAACCCTGAGTTAGAGCTATGTTGTCAAACATACCTTGATGTAGCTTATTTAATATGAGATCACAGGCCAAAATACTAAGTCACACACTGTACCGACTGAACTATCCAGACTTCGTGTATTGAGAACACCGAGTTCCCCACATTCTTGGTCAGGTGCCACTGGACATTTGAGAAGATATTTTATTATCTCATCACAGCTCAAAACATTTACAGAATGGATTAAGCGTTTTATAGCAAACCTGATGCTAGACCACTTCTGATGGGGGTTATTCTGGTTCACCGAGGTGACCTTACAGTTAAATCTCGGATTACAGGCGTGCCTGAAAAAAATAGCTAATAACCTGGATGCAAGTTCCACCACTTTTATGAAAAATGTTGTACTTGAGACTCCCTTTACTCTGTACCACAGAAGAAATCAATCAGAACCAATTTATTCCACCAGGTCTTGGCGGATCTTTGAAGGACTCAATTGTGTTGAACATATTGGGGTGTGTGTGTGTGTGTGTGTGTGTGTGTGTGTGTACACACAAGCACAGCAACCTCAACCGATTTACTGCATTTTCATCATAAGCCCCAACGAAGGCAGCTGCCTTGGAGGTCCTTCTGACCATTCATAAATCCTAAATGGATATAGCAATCCCACACAACTGTGAGTGCACAAAAACTTATGGTTGTCAGTTCGAGATGACGCCGTACCGTTCACTTTAAAGCAATAAAACGCTGAAACTCATGACGAAGGTGCAGAAACCTCCCAAATTACACACAATGTTAAAGCATCCTAGTGAGAACTAGAAAAAAGGAAAGAAGGAAGACATGGGGTTAATGAAAAAGGAAGCAAAAACTGAAAAAAAAAAGTCCTCATTTTTTATCTGGCCTTCTTTACATCTTCTCCCATTTCTCTAATTGTCAGGAATGCCGACCTCAGCTCACTTGTTTCTGCGCCAATTCTCCCTCTCACTTAATCTAATCATCACACCATTATTTCACTCCTCCTCTCTCAGACCTCCCTTCACCTCCACTCCCCCCAGCCTCCATTTCTGCTTTAAGCGACCAACAATGGGTAGAAAGACGAGTGAAAAGAGGAGCAAACTGATGACTCAGGCTCAGAGGAAAATTATTTCTTCACGATAAAGCTTTGGGGAATATTAGATTAGATTATTTTATCTTCTAGCCTTTCATCGACAAAGGAAAAAAAAAACCTTTATACATATCAAAGCAGTTATCAACAATGAAAAGTTGCTGAGTCATGGCTGGGCAAAGCCGACTTTTAAATGATACCAGATTTAATTATTCTCCCCATTTTTACATTAAAAAAAGCATCTGTTAATAAGTGGAAAATTAAAAATGGTACAGAGAATGAGTTGAGTATGGTGCTGTGGGGAATAATTTTATCCAGGCAAAGTCTCTGTAGACTAATTAATTAGAATAGTCCACATTTTTTCACCCCAACATGAGAGTTTCTGATGCAAGTGAAGATTAAAAGTACAGTGAAAAAATGGAGTGATGAACCTCAGATCAGAGTTTAACATTTAAATAAAACGACCCCAGTCTTTCAGATCTTTTAATATAACTACAACATCTTTGGAGTTCAATATTAACTCAGTTTGTTTTAAAATTGTTTTGGACTTAAACTACTTTATTTGCTTCATTAAAATAACTTAAAAAAAACTTAGAAATTATAAAGTAACGTCAGCAAAAGAAAGCAGAACGCGTACTCCTCCACAACTCCTTGTCGTTTCGTTTTAAATCGCCCGTTTTTGCTTTCGCTGCAACCGTCTCCGTCCTTCGTAACCCAGAAAGAAATAAAACGGGGACTGGAGAGGAAGCAGGCTGTGGCAGGGGAGAAGAGAGTGAAGAGAGCTGAGGTCATCTTGATCTACAGCTGTCTGGAGCGAGAGGTCAAAGGTCGACATAAAGGCAACGCTTTCAGGGCCGCTCACATTTTAATCGCACGCACAGGTGGGGTTTTATGTGTGTGCTGAACGTCTTACCACAGCGTGTTGTCTGTTGCACGTATTCACAGACTCGTAAATCTGCTAAGACTAAATCTGTCTCGCAGTTATGCTACACCAAATTCTCATACAGATTCATGAGAATTTATACTTACGATGCGCTTTAAGTTTTGGCTTGTATAACAACAAGCTATTTGGTGCAGGTGTACATTACCTTGCAAAGTTATTAATAGTTCTTAGAAATTCTTGCTCAGTTTTTTTTTTTTTTTACATTTCAACTAAGCATCAATGTTTTTAACTGGGATTTTATCTTAAAGGATAACTTAACTGTAATTTACAAATTTTACATTTTCAGCTTTGCGCATCCAGATTTGGATTATTCTTTGTAAATTAGCTAAAGTGCCATCAGATTGAGCCCCTGTGAACAGCAGTTTTGAAGTCCTGCCACAGATTTCCAGTTGAATTAAGATCTGAACTTTGACTAGGTCATTCTAACAGGTAGATGTGGTTTAGTATAAGCTTATTTCTTCTATTTTATCTGATTAGATAAGTTTCTCACATCTTCCACGTATTTGAAGCAAACTGAAAGAGGATATATTATGACTTTCATCCAACAATTATACTTTAGTCATTCTTTTACTGAAACAGATTTGTGAAATGCATGAACGTGTTTATGTCTCGTCAACAAATCGTCCCACTTGAGCTGTGAATCTCTGACACAGACCACATTTTCCAGGTTTTATTCTGTAAAATGTTTTCCAGGTCACAAATAGGTGAAAGTGTCTAAAAAATCCCAACAAAATCCATTGAAGTTTGTGGTTGTAATACAGCAAAATGGAAAGAAAAAAATAAAAAATTCAAGGGGTATGGATTTGCTAAAACACGGTAAAAATCTGTTAGAACTGTTGGGACTGAAAATGACAGCACAACAGAGATCTTCAGATAGGAAAACCTTGAAATACTGGACAAACTTCTTACACCACTGTACACGCAAACAAACGCACACTCCGAGAAGAGCATAGCAGAGACTCTGTGTTGTCAGTAACCACCTTGGAGACTCAGAAGTGTCATAAATGTCTTCATATGAAACCCAAAGAGACGAGGCGGGGGTTGAGGGAGGAAGTTGAAGAAGAAGGGATGCTTGTTAAACAATTTCATTGGACAGAGATACTCTCTAAAGCACCCAGCTCATATTTTTACCACCAATTCAAACTCAACTCTGTTTTCTTTCACCCATTTAAAATGTATTCAGTTGGATACAATTTTCAATGCTCAAACAATCTAAATCCAAAAGAAACTTCAGACTCATCCTGTACGGGGTTGGGTATAATAGTAGTTTTACCCAGGAAAAGCCAAACTCTGTGTGTTGCATGTGTGTAAATACACCCCAGTGTGGAACCACAAGGGTTTTTGGTCATGTTTATAGCCTCGCTTTTGGCCCGGGCTTGTGTGAACAAGGTGTTACCACCTAACTGTCTTTCAGTGGTGATGCAGTGTTTAGACAGGGCCTTTTGTTAGTGTACATCTGGAGAAAATGTCTTCATTGATTCAAATATAATAAGTGAAATTAAAGTTAAGATAAATACAGAATCGGTGTGCGTGTGTGTGTGTGTGACAGCCTAAAACGGGTCGCGGTCACATCTGGACTCACTTACTGGCTGCCTTCTGTGTTTTCTTTTCTCTCTCCATCACTTCCAACTCACCTGAGCTGCCCCGGCTTTTATTTACACCTCTCTAAATATGGCTCTCACGTTCCCCAGGTTGATTTTTGTCTTTATTTTGAGTGTCTCTATCAATTCACCACCTCTTTTGTCGTTTTTCATCCGCACTCCTCCTTTGGTTGCCTTTAAACCTGGTCAGAAATCTCTGCTCATAAGCCAGCTGATGCCAGGCTTTGGGCGTTTTGTCCTACCTGTTGCTTGAGCTGATGAACCAGGCTGTCCTTCTCTCTCTTCAGGGCTGACACCTCTTCCTGGGTTTTCTTCTTCTTGGACGAGGAGAGCTCCAGCAGAGCGATGTTGGCGTCCTTCTCGCTTATGGCGGCCAGCAGTGCTTCTTGCCTGCGCAGGAAACAGTACAGATCGGATGTGTTCGTTTTCTGCTGTTTGGACATGCATCGTTCAGAGCAGACTGGGTTAACTGAAACATTGCTTTAATTAAACCTTATGTAAAAGAAATACGGATCTTTACGAACACCTCAGGAAAAGTTTGCAAATTTATTGTAGTTATCAGCCCGTCTACTCGCTTGTCCATGAAGAGTTGCAGGGGAGCTGCTGTGTATCTCCAGCAAACAACAAACAAGCTTCCACATTTTCCAGAAGTAAATAAAATAAAATAAAAATATATGTACACATCTGTGACTTACCTATAAAAATACATTTTAGTTGTTACATGAATTTGCATTTTGAACTCTCAACCAGGCATGGGCTATTTACTTGTATTTCAAAGTTATGGTTTTAAAAGAATGCTCTTTTATATCATTTCTAACATTTAAAATCATTTTACTTTGATGCCTAAAAAAAGTGGCCATTTTCCATCAAGCTCAGATTTTCTCTGACTTTATGGACCACAGTCTTGCATTACAATTTGTAACCGAATTTAGCAGGTGTTTGCTCCACATCTTTGTTTATGTGTTATAGATGACGCTGCAATAACCGCAGTTAATTAATATGTTTCGATGATATGTTTAGAACAATTATTTTTTTATGTTTCAAATGAAAGTTAATTAGATCACACCTCATCTAAATCCTGTGATACGATGGCGTTTCTTATCTTACAGCATGACTATAGTTAGTGAAGAAAATGATCCATTTTATCCGTCATGTCAAGTCAAACTCTTTTAAAAGTTACTGTGAAAAAGAAAATATGGTGTAACATTTAAAAATTGTGCAGAGGCAACATTGTTTACTGTCCCCAATGCATTACAAAAATATATATTACTACTGTATTTATTACAGCAGAACATAAGGCCACTCTGCAAAAATTACAATATTTTTTATGTGCAACAAACGTTAAATTCTTCTCGGGAACAGCAGAAACGGAGACGGACTGTACATGATCAGAAAGCATCAGTGAGCTATAATGGTGCTGTAATGAATCCAGACCTTAAGCTCTTGTTAGATTTACTGTTACAGAGTCTCGGTTCCATCTCTTTGAACCAGACAATAGTTGGATGGAGGAGCAGCGTCGGTTCTGGGCAGAATTTTGCTTATCCTTATCTGGTCTCTCTTGACCCTCCTTCTGGGGTCAGTTGTTCCACTCTTATATTCTTTTTTTTTTTTTTTGGTTTGTAAAGAGAACAGAGAGGATTTGAGGCAAGGTTGCGTGGAAACCAAGACTTTTGTTACCTGTTTTCCTGTTTTTTATGAGCCTGCACTCCACAAAACAGAATACAAACAGAAACACTAAGATGTTATTATGACTGAGCTAACATCTAGACTTTTAGTGACGTGATTACAAATTACCCCAAATCCAACTGATTTACTTCTAAATAAAAAGAGGCTTTTTTTAATACATCTAAAATAAAGAATCTCACAGATTTTAACTGTTGTATACTAAAAAAAAAAAAAAAAAAACTATCTTCGGTTCCTCGAAATGTGAGTGCACATATTTCTGAGCTCCGTTTCACTTCTGCTCTATGTCCAGCCGTCCTGTCTCTATCTCGCTCTCCCTCCTGATTCGATTGGGAAGCTGACAGATGAATAACATTCTTTGTGGTCGGAAAGCAACAAGCCGCATCAAATTCATCCCATCAGCCACAAATTGGGCCGAGCTAAGATCCAAAAAAGTTAATTCTCAGAATCGTATGTTTTCAGAGGGAATCTAAATCACTGAAGGAATTTTTACAATCCCTCACAGCTGAAGGATAGGCCACACTAGCAACACGTCCACATAAATACAACGAAAGCTGAGCATTATATCAACAGGTCTAACAACAGACTGGACTTTTAGAAAATAATATTTAAGATAACTCAAACATGCAAGGAAAGGCATGCATTTCATGACAGATTACAATAAATTAAAATAAAACACTTGCATGTGTCGTGGCCTTGAATATTTTAGAGTTAATGTGGCAAAACTGTTTAAGTATTAAGGCAGGAGAAAAGTATTATAGCTGTGCAGCTTTGACCAACACCAGATTGTTTTGGAAAGATTTGGTGGGTGTCTACCAGCGGAGACGCCAACTGATGCAAGCAATAAACCCACAACAATTGTTTAAGGCTGTGTTGGAATAAGTCTGATTTCTGAGCGTTGACTTTTTTGGTGCTGCTTTAGGAACAATCTTTAGACTTTGCAGAAGTGCTCATAATTTTCTGTTTCATCATGGCATCCACAAACATACATCCCAGAAATCCACAATGACGGAGAAAAGATTCCTAAAATTCCTATTTTGCTCCTTTTGTATAACACACAATCGCGCTCTTACGTAAACACTGACAAAGCCGTGCAAGGAGGAATGCCGAGATGATGACATCTAAATGGAGACAGATTGCGTGTTTGGACTATGGGAAAAAAATATCCTCGGTCAACCTCACTGACCAAACTGTCAGTGGGCAAACGTCCCATTATGCATCTGAAAGCGAGCAAAACAAAAAATTAAATCTGGGATTGGTAGATCGGCTCCCTGGGCTGGTAAGTAAAATCCGTCAGGCTGAATTAGATAAGTACTTACCTATGCAAACTATTTCTATTTAGAAATATAAACAATAGATTTGCAAATGTTGTGATAACCTTTAAGTCTAAACACATACGATTAGAGATACGCAGAAACCATCATGTTGCAGTTTGTGTGTCTCCTGGCTCCAATACAGCTGATTCAGATGGCAGAAATAACTTCTCAACTTCTTAGCAAGTAGTCTTTAATTCTGGAGATGAAGCAATCTTTTGCGTCAGGTGAGGTGAACAAAGCAAACATCTTAAACGTGGATGGATGGATGGGAAGCATCACTGGGAAGGAAAATGGATGATGGACTAGTGGATTTACGGACGGCTGGATAGAACAAATAGATGTACAAGTGGCTGATGGGTAGTTAGACGGACGGGCAGTTCTTTCTTGTTCAGTCTGTGTAGGAATACTAGGAAATAAAGAGTCTGTTGGATATAAAAATCTTTAAAAAATAATTGAAATGTATGCCCTTTTACGAGAAATAGCATTTAATCTATTCATTAGCAAAAGTATTTTCCATTCCTCCCTGTGGACAATCAGAAACTATAAAAGCCCCAGACAGCGTCTCCTTTTGCTATTTTGTTCCACTGATAGAGAAACTAAGATTCGCACAAAGAAAGACTAATGGAACTTTATTCTCATTAAAGCTAACAGAGCGTCTAGTTTTATACCATATTTGAGAGTTACCTGCCAGAATTCGGCACTTATAAATTGCTGGTGATAATATTATATTCATTCCAGATGCACTTGTCTCATTCTGGGTCTCTCCCTTCATCTCTGTCAGACTCGTACACAAACACGTACTTAAGACACTCGACTTGGCCTTCTCGGCTTGCAAAGCTAAAACACGTGCTCTTGACAAGCGCTGGCTGCGGCTACTGCTGTTGCTATGCAATCAGAAAGAAACTGTTTCAAGTGCAGCAATCTTTTGGTAAATCGTGAGACAATTCTTGTGTCAGACGGCACTTAGATCGCTGAACGCTCCTGGCACCGTCTGCAACGCGTCATTATCACGGAAACTGGAAAAGACAATGGAGCGAGCAAAGCGAGGGCGAAAGATTCCCAGAGGACAAAGATCCTTGGATGTGAAACTCTCCTTTCAAGTTTAAGGAACAGAGAAGAATAAAGGAAGGACCACTAAAAATCAACGAAAAAACAAAAGCTTTTCAGAAAGGTTAGCACCAAGATACTCTTACTTCGGTATTTGCCAACTTCTTTTAAGAGCCAACAACACATTCCAGAGGATATTTATCGTAATGTGCAATTGTTGGTTTCCACCATTTGCGTATTAAAACCCTCCAATTCTCCTTAGAAATGACTGAATTTGTTTACAACTGACCATAATTTATGCTCCAAAAAGTTTCATTGTAATTGAGACCACAACAACAATATGCTTTAGTAGTGTTAGCCTGAAACCATTAGCACATTTAGGGTTATAACAGCTCAACACACTCGGCCCACATTCTTAACTGGATCAATCTCCTTAATTCATGGTGAAGCAACTAAAGTCATATGGTTAAATGTTCAGGGTTGTCCAGTAGTTGGGCAGAATGCTTAGCATGGAGTAATGTCTGCCTAGAGACAAACAAACGAGCAAGTTCAGCAACCTTACTTTGAAAAACAAAACAAATCACAAGTATAAACAACACGGCACTATTGCACAGAGAGGAGCCAAGACACTAATCATGAAGTGTCGCAATTTTCAGAGCAAAATTTTTTTTTTTTTTTTTTAATCAGAGAAAAATATTCTGTGTTAGCTTTAGTCATAAGATTACACATATTACGGTAAATATGCCATGGGAGTAATTCTTATTTTTACAAATCTTTTTCAGAGTACTGCGTAAAACATACAAAGTCTAAAAAGTGAGTATTATGAGCTGCCACCGTTTGAATGAGATGAAGAAACTTCACACACACACAGGTTTTGATACCTTACTGTTATCAGATAACAGCTCAAGCTCAAGTCCAGCTAAATAATACAAGCTTTTAGAGTCATGCACAATAAGTCTAGCTTCTTATTTTCTTGGTGCTGCTAAAAGTGTAAAATCCCTTTCAGTCCACAAAGAAAACCTGAATTTCATGAGTGTTTATATAAAAAGTTTATAGAGAGCTGGTAACAGGCTGCAAAATGTTCCCATCAGGTGGTAAAAGTGGCGTAAAGTAGAGCTGTCATGTTTTTATAAGAGCGTTTCATTGGTTAGTCACGACTTAACAAGTCTCTGTTTATAATTTTACTCTTGTACCACTTCTCACTCAACATAAGCTTCAAGCTCACCTTTCTCACGTTTCTTTCTCTCCCTTAGCACCCCCGTCTTTGTCACTCTATCGTTCCACTTCTCCTTCCTCCTCTATCTGTGAAATAGGCAGGGCGACGGATTCTTTCCGTTATTCGCCGGTCGTGTGCCATGATGTCATCGCTGCCGCGACAAGGCAGACAGTAAGCAGAT